ACACCGACCAAGATTAATAAATTGTTTCTGTGAACTTTATAATAAGTTCTCTTGGATAAAGTCTAAAATAGGTTAAAATTCTAATGTTCTTGCTATAGACTCTTTTTGGTTAAATGACCACTTCTTAAAATAAATTTAATAATGTTTGAACAGGTAATTATAGCTAAATAATAAATCTATTAAATGAAGTTTAAACGGATTTGTTGGCAATTACCAAACACTTTTGGCAGCCATTATAAAAATCACAATAGAAAAATTTCGGTTATTTATCAAACGCACAAATATTTTGGCTATTATTCACAATTAATTATAGTAAATATTTAAATCAGTAAAAATCAGTATGACCTAGATTGATTTTACTTAAGTTAAACCGAGGTGTATCCGGGAAAGTAGGGTATTTGTGTGAAACATTATGCACTGTTTTAATAATAAAAATATTGTATAATTATCTTATTAAGCTCTAACGGTTAAGTATTAACTGTAGAATAATTAGATAATTGTAAAATATAAATTACCATGTTTAGTAATTAACAAAGTTTTATTTGTTATATTTTGTACACTAATAGAGAGCGAATTGAAAGCATTGAAGGCAAGGGTTAAGCGGTGGCGAGTGATGGAGAGAAACGACATGATATACGTCTGGCATCACAGCAGCGATGCAGAGCCCGACCACTGCCTCCCAGACCTGTCCAAGAAGTACAACATTCCCAACCTTACAGTACTCTCCAAATACACCTACAAGTTATACACATCATCACAGGTACATTTGAATTATGGCATTATAAACACTGTAAAGCATTTATATATTTAATAAATTTAGTCAATAGAATAAGCAATTAATTTATAAGTTTTCAAATATCTATTATTAATATTTATTACCTTTAACCATCGAAGAGCAAAGCGACCATAATTGAGCATTGGCGAGCATTGATCTAATGTATTTTCTATGGAGCATAGTGTTGCTAGTTTAGCTTTTAAGCCTATTTGATCACTCCTGCCTTTAACTAATATTGACTAACCTTCAGTTCGTTCACAAAATCTGTTACCCAAATCCCACTCTTATTCTTGTTTTCTATCCCCTTCTATAGTTTTCACTACCTTCCAACCCTTCTATTGTATGGTATTGTTGTTGTTGTAAAGTTTATTTACAATGGAATAGTATAATGTATTGATCACCGATGTCATTTTAAATTAGCCAGATTCAAATTCACAGTGTGCCATAAATAGGTGGCGCAACGGTCGGTAAAAAGATTTAGGTTTGCCGATTTAAACAAAAAACAACACATGAAGGTCAACTTAATAGTATCTTATCTAGTTGTCTATTGTGATTAGCTTTCAGTCTATCCACACAAACGTCATTTTAAATAAAGAATCATAGAAATTTATTTATTAAATCACATTTTTAATGAGATTTAACGAATATCAACAATTTTATTACTATTTGACTTAATAGTATTAGATAATCATATTTTCAAACGTGATCTCAATGTTTTTGCGCAAATACGATTTGTTTTATAATCTTTAAGCAATTTCATTAATGATCAAATTGCTCACAATTGAAAGTAGATCTAAAATATGTAAACACGTTGTGTCCTTTATGTTAAATATAATTATATTTAATTATAATGTTAAATGTCTTTGAATTGTCAATTTAATCAATCTATTATGTATATACTTAATCCATATATTTTAGTGGGTATGTGGCTACACTAAAGTATGCGGCATACCTACATTGGTTATCAATAGTATAATGGACTAATTAAATGAAAAATCTTATATTTATTTTATTGCTAGCAAGTAATGGAAAACCCAATTGACATCGAGCACAACGACTATGTGCATGCGCATTTCATCAGGGGCGTGCTTAGCACAAAGTTTATTGCAACAGGCGATGGCACTGAGGACAGCCCGATGGTCATATTGATCGAGCTATATCTATGTAACCGCAAAATTACCACAATGCATCTGGAGCACAGGGTGTGCACACCGGCATACGGCGAGTACCACGTCAAATACATCGGTATACCAGGGGTCACGCAAGCGATGTTACTCGTGTCGGGTATAAGTTTGGCCCCCGAAAGGATGCTCTTCAACACCCGATTCCTGGGCACTCCTACCCTATGGAATCAAATTGTATTATGGTTATTTCACCGCATGTTATTAATACAGGTACTAATTTTTGTTTTATCATTTTATTTATTTTTGTTTTTTTTTGTGGTTAGAAACATACAAAATTAATGATTACCTGTTTGAATTTAAGTTAACAATAAAACCTACTAGTTGCTATAAAAACGTTCGACTATTGAACAATTGTTAACATAAAATTTTATAAATAGCTACCATGTCGTGTTCCGTATTGTTAACAATTATTATGAATCATAATTTATTATACATACTATAGACATTTATACCCGTGGTAGTTCATTTATATAATTTATTAAATCATTATAATAGATATGGGATGATGGTCCAATCTGGAGCAATCTAAACTGTCCATCAAAGCCCATATTTACTAAAAATGATACCGTTATCGCCCGCACCCGACGGATGTTGACTAAGTTTTACGATTAATTACTATTCTATTTATATAATGGCACCATTCATTATCATTTTGGTAAGGGTGATTATCGTGGACTAGTTAACAAATAGTACAATTATTTACAATAACTAAAATATTAAATGTTAATAAACGAAAATTAATTTAATTATGACAATCACTGATTAGTAAAGCATAGAAATATATGCATTTATAAGCAGTCAAATATGTCATATAAAATGCACTAAAAAATGGTCAAATATGCACTCAAATATGCACTTATAAATTTTTAAATATGTGATATAAGTATTATTTAATATGTTTTATGAATAATATGGCCAA